ATTATTTTTTTTTAAACAGAAAAACTTATATATATAGGGTTGTAATATTCAATAGAATACATACTAAACTATTTTTAACATAATGACCTATTAAAAAGTTCCACCCGTTAAGAAACTTTGGATGTGGCATATGGAGTTAGTGGTGTTAAATGGTAATAATAGGGATGAAGTAAATTGAATATTTTTTTCAAAGTGCAGAGACTAATTTAATACAAAATTAAAATATGGACCAAATCGGATATAAATAAATAGTATAAGGAGTAAAATTATATTTTACCCTATATAATGATATATCTAATTATACTTATGAAAAATAAATATAACATTTTATTTATAATATAATATATTTTATTTATTTAATTAAATATAAATATAAAGAAATTGTACAGAACCAGCTTCAGGTTGGTTAGATTAGGCAGATCCATTATTTACTAAATCGGCCAGAGAAATAACACATAAAGCACTCCGTTGTCATGAAATTCGGTAAATATGCTCCCTTTTTTTATTATAATCTTTTACAACAAGCAAATTTTTTTCATATATGCAAAGTAATTATATTAATATATATTGTATACAATATCAATTAAAAGCATGATATGATTAATTATATAAACCCAGAATATAAATAATTAAATAATAACAAAATATGCACATCTTATTTTTATATTATCATAAAAAAAATAGATTTTAATAATACCTGTTAATTGTTTGAAGTCACAGTTAAATTTTTTTCATTTTCAAAAGTTACATTGACTCGTTGTTTATTTTAATATTATAAAACATTCTTCAAGGTCTCAATAATTTTATATTATATAATTAGCTTAATTTAGTTATACAATTTAATTTATTTTTAATAAATTACATGTTCTTAATTAAATGATAACCAGAAATTCTTACCGTACAATTTGCTTATATTCAAAACTAATCTACAATGTGAAAATTATTATTAAAAAAAAAAAATTAATTTGGTATGGTGCCTACATTAGTTGAATCCAAACATATGGGACCCAATATCCTTAGGCATTTTATTAATTGGGTTATGTGTCGTGACAAAACTATTTGTAGCGACACATGACCCACACACGCATAAAAATTGAATGGTCAGAGACAGACAGCAGTTAAGTCTCTTGGGTGACACGCGGGCCTATTGCCAACCTGTTCCTCTTACCTTCCACAGTGAGATACTGTTCCTTTCTAGTCCCACATCTTAAGAACCCATCTCTAATCCTCACCGTCAGATTCCTTAAAACCTAATCTATCTGTTTCTATTGTATTATTGTACTTGTGGGGCCTTCTTGGTTTTGACATTACTATACACTTTTTCCACCATTGTAATAATACCAAGACTTGTGATTTTGACACCATCTCCCTTCACTCCCCTTCTTTCAATAGCATTTTCTGTGTATATATATTACTCTTTCATCTAGTTAAATTGCAATGATTAATATTATCAAGTAAATACAGTCAATAAGTGATCCAAGTATAGAGATAATTGCTCAAGTGAGAGCGACTTAGGTACACAACAAAGATAGAATAGATAATTGTCTCGAATTTTTTTTTCTTTTTTTTTTTATAAAAAAAAATATATATTCATTAAATAAATAACATCTATATAATTATAACATAAAATTTTAGTGAGAATATACATTATATAACTTTTTATTGTGGTTAACATTAATAGAGAGAGATATTAAAAAATATGTTGTATCGATTAAGTTTACAAGATTCTAGAGACTCTTTTATATGCATGCAAGCTACCATGTGCTCCACTCACATCAGCAACACAAAATTAAGTTTAACTTTAATTCTTTTCTCGATAATAAATTTAAATTTTAATGACAGATATCTTGGATATCAAATAAAAAAAATTGTAAAATAGACAAATGTTTAGTGGTTTCAAACCAAACTCAGAAAGTAATTGTTGAATCTAAATAATTCCAATAATTATTGAAGCTAGTGCTTTGTGTTCTGCCTCAACTGAAGATATAAAGATAATTTTCTGCTTTTTTCTTTTCTAAGAGATTAAAGATTTGCCAAGTAAAATACGAAAGCTTGTCACAAATTTCTTAGTACCTGTACATGATACATAAGTAGGGTTGAAAAAGCTTAAAGCTTGAAGGAAGAATCAATTGAAAATATTAATTCTTGGCTTGGATCACCCTTGAGATATCCCAACACCTAATGAAAAACCTTAAGATGAGGGTTCCTAGGTTGAGGGACAAACTTACCAAGCTTATGAATAACAAAGTGGCCTCGATAAAGATGGATATTGAGTCGAATCCTTCAATAAGTCTCCATTAGAAACACAACTCTTAGAAGCAAAAAAACTAGTATAATCAAGTAATTGTAGGGTCTATTAGCATTAAAATAAACAAATTTATTTGTGGAGTGAACTATTTGTAAACTAAGAAAATACATAACTTTAACTAGATTCTTCAACTTTGACCGATAAGTAAGAAAATTTTTCATTTATTGAATAATCTCCAAAGAATACCCAGTGATAACTACATAGACTAAAATAACAACAAAAAAAATCAATAGAACCCTTAATAAATAAAAAGTAATATGTTTTGGATTATGAAAACTCAAATTTAATGAGATCATGAGAAAACTTTTTCATTCATCGAGATGCTTATTTAAGTCCATATATGGATATATATATATATATATATATATATATATAAACAAGCTTGAGACCATCTTTATTCTTTGTCTCACTTGTGTATATAAGTGGGAGATCCACATAGACTTTTTCAAATAGATCGTCACTAAAATGCATTATTTACATTAAGTTGAGCAAGATGCCAGCCTTTGAAAGTAGTTAAAGAAAATAAAATTTTAACTATGATTAGCTTGACAACTAGAGATAAAGTCTCCAAAAAATATATGCCTTCTTGTTGCATAAATCTTTTACTACTATATGAGATTATTATTGCTTAATTGAACTATTATAATTATGTTTAGTCTTATACATCTATTTACAACTAATATAATGTTTACTTGGTGGAAGATGTATCACTACCCAGGTATTATTTGGTTCCATAGATCAAGCTTAACTTTCGTGAGATGGAGAAAGATGTCCTTATGTAATATAATATGATAGGTGATACCAAATTGAGTTGCCACTAGTGACTTGCTGACAATGAAAATTACAAAGGTAAGATGGTGGCCTAGTTGGCCTAGTGGATCTTCTTCGCATGTCTCTTAAATTACCAACAGAGACTCAACGATATCATAGGTTCATGCAATTAGAGATGAATCATTTCTCAGTAGTTCATAAGAATCCAAGTCTAAATCACCAGATACTTGAGGCAAGAGAATATCTGTTGGAGATGAATGAGTAGTTTAATGGGAGCCCCTGTTGATACACAACTTTAACTTTCCCTCATAAGGATATGGTGCACCACCGTTCTCTAATGGTGCCTAATAATGCCATATCCACCCCAATTCTCTAATCGCATCTAATAATGCCAATGATAGTTTTCTCTTGCACAAAGATTACCTTGTTGATAATTCGTGTCATTTGATGAACTAATGCACCAAATAAGCTTTTCATGCTCTTAAACATCATATTTTGGTAAGAGAATAATATATAAAATGTATTAGAAATTGTATTTTTTTTCACAATCACAATAAATTACATAAAGATTTCTTCTCCTTAAGATGATAAGGGATAAATGAATTAAGACATTAGGGAGTTAATTTGACATCTACCACCACCCCAAGCCTTTAAAAACAAAGAACTTGTCTTTTTTCTATTTTTAATATTAATATTCTAAGCTTTAAGACCTAAAAATATGTAAACCTAAGTTTCTATAAATTTAATCACCTAAAAACTTCTATTAAACTCAATATTCCGGAATAAAGTATCATTTGTTCGATTGAAAAAGACAAGTTCTTCCTTGAAAGGCTAAAACAATGTTTGAACTCCTCTATTTAGTTTTCTACATTAATTTCCCATATTACTTTATTTTTTATTCGTTATTTATTTTACAAGACTTTACTTATTATATTGTTACTTTTCTCTCTTTTTTTTCTTGTTGCGTATAAATAAAAGTTCGACGTGGGGACCCTCACTTTCTATAATAATTAGTTCTCATCCTTGCTTGCCTAAAGGATAGGTGTTTGATGCTTACTAACATGGTGCATTAATCTCTTGCATAAGGAAATGTTTCTTTTCCTTCTTATTGTGATCTCGCTTACCAGGTGAGATAAATAGTGTTACTAGTCATACAACATTTTGACGATTGATCTCATTCTTTTTTTTTTATTAGTTTCGTTTACATTGTTTCTCATTTTCATCTCAATTCATTTATTTGTCGTATACTTAGATATTTTTTATTTGTTTATACTTAGTTCTCTTTTTTCTCATCATTTATGACATAACGGTCACAATGGTAAATTGATTCTTAAAAATAATTGTTATAGGTGCTTTGTAGCTCCTTTTTACTGCAAGTTAAATTTATTTTATGTTTTAAATTCAAAAATTGAAAATTTATCCCACCTTACTATTACAGTATTTATTATTACTATTACTATTTTTTGAATTTTTATGTCTTAAACATTTAGAGAATGTATGGTCGTAAAATAAGGGTAAGATTTTATTTATTTATTTTTTAAGTTCATCACTTTACCCTTCCCACAATTTACCTTTCTCGCATTTTATGGTCTGCTCTTCCTATTTCTTGCATTTTCCATTATTTGAACGTTACTATTTGACACCTCTTAATCGATAAATATGCATGAAGTAAAAAACTTAGGATCTTCGGACCAAATACAAAAAGCTCATGACCTTAAACCCAGTTCTTCCTGGTAAACCCGTTAAACCATCTCTCAAGCCCGGTTCGAAACCACCCTTCTCCCCCAAATTTCCTTTCCTCTTCTTCTTCCTTCACGTGCCGGATCCCCTCATTCTCTTTCAGTTCTATAGGCTACACATTCTTCTTCAACAGAACCGCAATCCCCTCTTCCACTGTTTAACCTTCACTTGTTTCTTTACTCCTCTTCTTATCCTTCGCCTCCAGATAATGATACTATCTTTCCTTTCTGGAGAAGTATGTAAATTCCAGACGTCTTGTCTTCTTCTTATGTCATCAACATACACTCAAGCCTTAAAAATCCTTCTCCTCTTTCTCCATTATCGGATGACCTCTCTCGCTCTTTAAGCCTTCTTGGACGCCGAGGTCAATTCGACCTAATCTTCATTTAATCCTCTCGAAAACTGCAACTTCCTGTTGGTTTTACTGCAGCATTTGAAGAATGTTCGAACCACATGAGATAGCAGCTGATAAATCACACAAGATCACCACTGATTCGCGACTCCAGACTCTTTGCAGCAGGAGTTCTTGTTTCCTCCGTTTAGGTAAGTACCTGACTTATATTCTCTTTCTGGCCTGTTGTGTGTTTTTATTTGAGAATATTTATCACTAAAACGTGCCGAATGCTATCTCTATATGTTTGTCATGCTATCTCCGTTATCTTATAGTTTTCTTTTTTGAAATAAAAGAGTAAAGATGTATTGATATAATGGCGCCAACGGCCGCCACTAATATACAAAAGATTTACAGGTCAATAAGCATATATACAATTGAACCTAGATCATCTAAGTTATCAAGGTTATGTGCTAACAAAATAGAGCCAAAATAGTGAAACCATCTATTCTTGATATTGCAGAAGTTAACTTCCTTCCCGTCAAAAGCTTTATTGTTTCTTTCCTTCCATATGACCCAGAATATTGTTAGAGGGATGAGTCTAGAACTTTTGTTTTTCTTGTACAGTCCATCCCAGGCCAATAATTCACTCTTAACTGATCCAGCAATAACCCAAGATATACCCAAAAGGCTGTAAACCAGCGTCCAAAGGTTATGAGTGAGTGGACACCATAGAAGAATGTGGTTGCAGGATTCCTCATTACAATTACAAAGGAAACATCTATTCGTCAAGGGGATTCCTCTCTTCATGAGATTGTCTAATGTCAGGATTCGTTCTTTTGCAGCTTTCCAAGTGAAAAAAGAAGTTCTAGGTGGGGCATTAGCTTTCCAAATCATCTTGTAAGGAAACTCCTCAATTTCTGTACCATTAAAACCTGCGAGGTAAGAGTAGAAAGATTTGACCAAGAAAGAACCGTTTTTCCTCAAAGTTCATAACAACTTATCCTCTTTGTTATTGAGCCAGAAAATGGACAGAGGTTGCAACAGCTTTTCATATTATTAGAAAAGAAAATAAACAATGAATTTAGAGAAGAAAAATTCTCTTGATTTATGTATATTGATATTTAAATGTATGCTATTTATATACAAAATAAAGGGTTAAACTAAGAAATTTACATGTAGTTGGTTATAACAAAAAAATGATAATAAAATTGATAACAGAAAAAATAAACAATTAATTCTAATACATATTTTTCCACTTCCCAATCATGAAGGTTCCTGTTAACCACGATATTCCAACTGTTACCATTAACCGCTTTGAAAGGTATTTTGGTGAGCATAGATTTGTCACTAGAAATAGCAAAAATCTGTGGGAATCTAGTTTGCAGAGTGTCAGTACCAATCCAGGTGTCAGACCAGAAGCGAACCTTGTTGCCCTTGCCCACTGTCCAATTAGTACATTATCTTATAGTTCAAGTATGGCTTTGTTTATTCCCATTGGCTGCATTATTTGGTTCCCTTATTGCACATGTACAGTTTCTATTAAAGGCTTAACGAACCAAATCTTTCTGTTTTGGCTTCTTTTTCCTTGTATCTTCATTCAACCTGTTTCTTTTTGTTACGTTCTATTGTTGTATTATTATGATCAGTCTTTGCCTTTTTGTCAGCTCTATTATGAAACGGTCATATGGTAAAACTAGTGTTTGGTGTGAATTTGTTTTCTGCTCTGTAAGTCAGTCACTGACGTTTAGGGATTGCACCCCTCTGGTGCTGTATATATATATATATATATCTCTCTAGATTTGCTTCTTACTTAGATTCTTAAGATATCTTTGGATTGTCATGAGATAAATGGGTGATTCTCTAATTTTTAGTATTGAGATGTGCGTTTGAATATGACTCTCTGTTAAAAGGATGCATTT